GATGTGGACTCGATGGGCCAAATGGCCTGCTTCCATGCTGTAGTGATTCTACAATTCTATGACAGCGTTAATGAGATAGACTCATAGACTCAACGCATAAAAGTGGCAGTGTCCCTGGCTCATATCTCGATGTCCCCTTTCTAGTTCTCAACCCCAGATGCATAGAAGTGGAATGTGCTCTTAAACCTGTTTAATATGAAAGTGTTCTCCCTGGTTTAAGTGGGGCTCTTGTGGTGTAAGTGGTGGTGTCCCTAACTCTGAGCCATGAGACCCAAGTTCAAGTCCCCCCTGTTCCAGAGGTGTGTCATCACATCTTTAAACAGGTCATTTAGGGAGAAAATGGAAAGCAAATGAAGCATCTCCTTACCCAAGCCATTAGTTGTTCGTATGGGAAGATATGACATGCAGAATGACATTTGTCCCCATTTCCGAGGAAGGAAATTAAAAACATCACGACAGCCAATGTACTTTTCTTTTATAATTTTATTAAACATAGAATACATTTTTTATTTTAAAAAAATCTTTACAAAATAGAAATTTACAAAGTTACAACAGTTTGACCAAGTAATTTAATCCCCTCACATGGTGAATATATAATGGGATTTAGTTTTACCAGGTCGGGAAATTATCAGTATATGACTGAAAACTTTGTAGAGGGCTTCCAGTGGTCGGAGATAGTATTGATAGGTGAGCACCACACTTCCTGAGAAGGCAGTTAACATACTGTGTGTGTGTTTGGAACAGTGAATCTGGAGGGTCGCTCTCGTTACAATTGCTTGAACAGAGCACTTGCTGATTTTTTGCACATCGTAGGGAAAGCAGAGCTTTACACCATGTGGAATACAGTGCGTCCAGCCTTATCTGATTAGCCTGGAGAATTCATAGAATCCCTACAGTGTGGAAGCAGGGCCATTCAGCCCAATGTGCTCACACCAACCCTCCAAAGAGCATCCCAACCAGACCCACCCCATACCTGGCATTTCCCATGGCTAACCCACCCAGCCTGCACATCCCTGGGCACTATGGCCAATTTAGCTTTGCCAAGCCACCTAACCTGCACATCTTTGGACTGTGGGAGGAAACTGGATTACCCACAGGAAACCCGCAATGACAATGGGGAGAATGTGCAAACTCCACATAGAGAGTCACCTGAGGGTAGAATTGAACCAGGGTCCCTGGCACTGTGAGGCACCAATGCTAACCATTAAACCACCCCCATGCCACCATCCTACTCACTCTCTTTATTTCCTCCCTAACTTGTGGTGCTCCCCCACTCCAACAGAACTGGATGCAACACTCTAGTTAGGGATTAATCAGAATTTCAATGGATTAATTTAGTGGTTTTGTTGAAATGCGGAGAGCTGCCAACATTCCAAGTCTGCTGACCCTGAGTTGCAATTGGTGCAATATAAATGCAACTTTGATCTGGCCTCTTCTTGTGCCACTGATCAGAAGATTTTCTTTATTTTCCCAGAAGGTGATCCGAGTCGATCAAAATCTCTCCATGGGAATCTTGGGATTTCCCATTGACTGACTTCAGATTCCAGTCCCTAATGGAAACTCCAAGGGACTGGAATTCACGTTTAGCTGATCTCAGCTGTGGCAGTCAGCTGAGCTGCCAAAGTTAACCTAAACGTCTCTTCCACATCGCTGGACCCAGAGTGGATGTGTTGGCACAGCTCCCAAGTTAGACTGAACTGGTACATCTTGCTACAGGCCATTGACCAATTGAAAAGATGCCCAGTTTTGACAAAACAAAACAAGTTAGAAGTTTAAACAAATAACCCAAAATTATGCAATGCACCAACAGTGCATTAACTCATAAATCTACGAAGGCCACACCTATAATCTTTAAGGATAGTAATTTTTATAAAGTGTGTCCCATGATTTCACACCTCTTTCACCGGTCAACCCCCCTTTCCCATTGGTCTATTTTGCCTCCTGACCTTTTATTTTAAATTTAGATTTGAAATTCTCCTTCTAATGTTCAAATTCATCCTCGGCTTTCTCTGACTCTCCTCCATCTGCAGAATCTATTAGGATCTTTCTTTTCCCACAACACCGGCGTCCTGCACATTCTCTTCATCTCACGACTGGAGAGTGCAACAAGGACCTGAGCTATGGAATTCCCTCCCTAAACCTCTCCAACTGTGTCTCCTCCTCAAACCCCTGGACCAAATTTTTGTCATCCCTGCCAACCTCCTCCAATGCAGTCTGGTATTAAATTTTGTTTGCCAACTCTGCTACAGACCACCTTGGAATGGCGTTACTATATTGAAGGAATGATATAAATTTCACCCATTGTTTTGATGGAGCTGGTCAATGATTAGCATTTCTTTGGTTTATCATAATTTTTTGGTATTCACTTGTGGGACATGGGCATCGCTGGTTGGACCAGCATTTAGTGCCTGCCCTAGTTGCCCCTTGACAGGGTAGTGGTGACCTGCCTTTTTGAACCGCTGTGCTGGAGGTAGACCCACAATGCCCTTAAGGATGGAATTCTCATTAGTTGTGAGGATCACGTTGAGGCACAGAGTTGTTGGAGGTTCCCATAGCGCTCCCTCACTACTTGTTTTCCCCACCTTATGCTTAGATCTCATCTAGGGAGACTAATAAATGACTCCATTCATGTATCATGTGATGACTAGGATGGTGGAGAGTGAATTAGATGAACTTCTAATAGCCTTCAATGCCAATATCTCTTAATCTCATGAACCAGTAATGTGACAAGTCATAGAGGATTAAACTCACTATGTCAATAGGCACCCTAATCCCAGAGGACCAGAGGGCTACGCTCTCATTAGAGAGAGTGAGGACTAGTGGTGAGGTTAACTGAGGCAAGACAGAGAAGGTAGGGCCTTGGCTGTGACCTCAGTCAGTATTGGAATTGAAACTGTGTTATTGTCATCACTCTTGGGTTGCAAACCAGCCGTCCAACCGATTGAGCTATGTGGCCCCAAATTACACGCTCAGCATCAGTGCAGCCCAAGTCCTACTGAAGAACTCTTCACCATGACTTTCTGATACAACATTGGCCCCCTGTGCATCTCAGCGTGAACTAAATTGAAACTATCTCATGCGGCCATATCCTTTCCCCAGTTTCCTCCAGTTCTCTCCTGAAATTACTCACTCCGAGAACCACGTCACGTTTCTTTCCTGAATGTGAATGTGAAAGTCACGGACACGACCTTCTGAAGGTGGTGGAATGTTACCTAATTGTTACAACAAAGAGGCTTGGTGGGATATTTCAGAGTCAATTGCCTCGCTGTGGGTATGGAGCCACATATAGGCCAGTAAAGGACAGCAGACTTCCTCTGCCAAAGGGATCGAAGTTAATCAGATGGGCTTTTAGGACAATCCAAATGGACGCCATTACCTACACCAGAATTTTAATATCAGGTTGCATTTAATTTCTTACAGAGTCATATAGTATGGAAACAGATCCTTTGGTCCATGCTGACCAAGATTCCCAAACCAAATTAGTCCCATTTGCCTGTGTTTGGTCCATATCCCTTTCCTATTAATGTACCTATCCGAATGTATTTTCAATGTTGTAACATACCTGCATTTACCACTCCCTCTGGCTGTTCAATCTACATACAAAAATTTGTTTGGTTTCAAATTGCACAGAGGCTATGATCGGATTTGAACTTTAAATCTTTGGATTATTTGTCCAGACCAACAGATTTACTAGACTGGTATCATAGGCACAAGGTACTGTACCACAGGGGGAAGTTATACAATGCAGAAGTCTGTTATACAATGCAGAAGTCTGTTACACAGAGAGGTGAGTTATGGAGTCGATGTGGTTATATGGGCAGGTATGATGGTCAGGATGTGGTTTATACACAGGTCATATAGAGGGCAGACCATACATGAGGTGAACCATACTATCAATTGTTTCAATCCAATCTCCACAAGGATTTACCCAGAGAAGACGTGAGCACAGGATGTTAAGGCCAAAGCAAAATCTTAGGTCAGATCAACAGCCCCATAACTTGGAAAAGTATTAATCACCGTGCTCAGATAGCTGACACGCAGACTAGATGGGCTGAATGGCCCTCTGAGCCGCAGCCATGATCCTATTCATCTGAATCGTGGAAATAACAGTTCTGCTAATGTTAAAATAAATGGAGGTGGCAAAGGTTGAAGGACGATAATTAGATGGTTATTTTGAGTTGCATTATCTGATAGCTACTAGATGGCACTATTTCACCACTAGGGAAACAATTGGTGATGGACCAATGACGAATATAGTTAATGATATCGACAGCCAGAGTTCTGGTCCTGCACAATTTCTGGACTCTTTTTCTGTATTTGGCTTTGGTTCTGACCAATTGATCTGATTTATTACTGTCACGTGTACCGAGGTGCAGTGAAAGATGTTGTCTTACATGGTTTAATGGCAGATCGTACTATACAAGTGTATCAGGGTAACAGAGCAGAGTGCAGGATGCAGGTGATAGCTGCTGAGAAGGTGCAGAGGGAGATCACCATTAACATTAAAGAGGTCCATTCAGGAGCCTACTAAGAGCGGGGAAGGAGCTGTTCTTGAAATCTGTTTGCATGGGTATTCCAACTTTGATATCAATTGGTGTTAGCTCCATTTCTCATCCTGCCACCTCCAGACTGCTTTACCTCGAATTTTGTCAGTGAAGCCCTTCTGGTTTTAAAACAGACACAGGAATGATAGCCAGCTGAGAAATGAAGCTACTAACAGAGGGGGAGGGGCTGGATTCTGTGTCGCTGCCCCCTCCAGACTCTTATTCTGCAAGAGTGAAAGCTTCCTCGAACCCTGGGAGCTCTTTGCTGGAGTGAGGGACACGGTTTTGCTTCTGCTGTTCTCGCAGTTGGGGAAGTCCTTGAGCATTTCAGCTCCTTCTAATTCTGCTCTGTCCCCTCACGTTACCTTTTTTTCCAAAAAAAACAAATTCGGCTAGTCATGTGGCCACGTTTCCCTCAAAAGGTCCAAAGTTAAGTGAAAGCTAAACCCTCCTTGCTCATTTCGAGTGGGTCAGGACATCGAGGGAGAGAGCGGGCTGTCCTGAGGAAGGGGGCAGCGCCGTTCTGGGCCAGACCCGCTGCAGGGATGGGTACCGCGTGTGCCTTGTGCTCTCGTCAATGCGCGGCGAGTCTTCACCTTGTGCCCCCAGCCAATGTGGGATCTCGGTTTTGGGTGGGATGGCAAGGTTGGTGTTGCTCAGGTATTCCTGCAGGGTTCCTCCAGTCCAGGTGAGGTAGTTCCGATGGCTTCTAACTGACCGCTTCCCCACCGCCTGTTTTCAGCAGGAAAAGAAACCACAAAAAGATTCAAATCTTATGAATAGATAGTAAGAACTGCAGATACTGGAGTCAGAGATAACAAGGTGTGGAGCTGGAGGAACACAGCAGGGCAGGCAGCATCAGAGGAGCAGGAAAGCTGACGTTTCGGGTTAGGACCCTTCTTCAGAAATGGGGAAGTGGAAAGGGAGCTCTGAAATACCTACCTTCCCCATCCCAACCCCTCCTCTCTCTATTTATTTCAGAGCTCCCTTCCCCCTCCCCAGGCTGCCTGGCCTGCTGTGTTCCTCCAACTCCACACTGTGTTATCCCCCAATCTTATGAAGTTTTAGGAATTTCAGAATTGGGAGTCATAGAGTCATAAGAACATAAGAAATAGGAGCAGGCCATCTGGCCCATTGAGCCTGCTTCACTATTCAACAAGATCATGGCTGATCTTTTTGAGACTCAGCTCCACTTACTCATCTGCCCATCATAACCCTTAATTCCTTTACTCTTCAAAAATCCATCTATTTTTGCCTTAAAAACATTTAACGAGGTAGCCTCATCTGCTTCCCTGGACGGGCAATTCCACAGATTCCCAACCCTTTGGGTGAAGAAATCCTAAATCCAATTGGACACCATTACCAACAGCAGATCTCAGGGCATGACACGAACATAGGTGATGGCCTAGTGGTGTTATTGCTAGACTACTAATCCAGAGACCGAGCTAGTGTCCTGGAGACCTGGGTTCGAATCCTGCCATAGCAGATGGGGGAATTTTAAGTTAATCTGGGAAATAACAGTCTAACGATGACCATGAAATGATTCCTGATCATCAGGAAAACATCCATTTAGCTCACTAATGCCCTTTAGGGAAGAAAATCCTTACCCTGTCTTGCCTACACGTGATGCTGGACCCACAGCAATGTGCTTGATGCTCAGCTGCCCTCTGGGCAATTAGGAATGGGCAATAAATGCTGGCTTAGCCAGTGATGCCTACATCCATGAAGGAATTAAAAAGAAAGAGGTGCATTGAATCTTTGCTGACCTATCTACACCAGGCCAACTTTCCCACACGAGGCCTCTGGCCTTTTGAATGTTCAAGTGCTCATCCACAACTATCCTTCCACCACACTCTGGGTGAAAAACATTTTTCCTCAATACCTCCGGCCCTTCACTTTCAAATTATATTCCCTTGTTAGATATTTTCTGTTCAGAGGGTGTTATTATGCGCTGCTGGAGCAGGTGAGATTTGAACTCAGGCCTCCTGGCTCAGAGGTAGGGGCATTTCCACCATGCCACAAGAGCCCCTGTACGCCCTATTGTTATTGACCCTTCTGTTGAGGGGACCAGCTGCTTCCTATGCATGTTGTCCATGTCCCTCATGATCTTGTATATCTCAATCTGGTCCTGTGGTGATTACATAGAAACATGGAAGATAGGAGCAGGAGGGGGCCATTCAGCCCTTTGAGCCTGCTCTGCCATTCTTCATGATCATGGCTGATCGTCCAACTCAATAGCCTGATCCTGCTTTCTTCCCATAACCTTTGAACCCATTCACCCCCAAGTGCTATATCTAGTCCCCTCTTGAATACATTCAATGTTTTGGCATCAACTGCTTCCTGTGGTAATGGATTCCACAGGCTCACCACTCTCTGGGTGAAGAAATGTCTCCTCATCTCCATCCTAAATGGTCTACCCGGAATCCTCAGTCTGTGACCCCTGGTTCTGGACACACCCACCATTGGGAACATCCTCCCTGCATCTACTCTATCCAGTCCTGTTAAAATTTTTAAGTCTCTATGAGATCCCCCCTCATTTATCTGAAATCCAGTGAGAACAATCCCAACCTAGTCAACCTCTCCTCATACGTCAGCCCCCACATTCCAGGAATCAGCCTGGTAAACCTTCGCTGCACTCCGTTGAGACCAAGAGCATCCCTCCTCAGAAAAGGAGACCAAAACTGCGCACAATATTCTAGGTGTGGTCTCACCAAGGTTGCTCCCTGCTCCTGCACTCAAAACCTCTCACAATGAAGGCCAACATACCATTTACCTTCTTTACCGCTTGCTGCACCTGCATGCTTACCTTCAGCGACTGGTGCACAAGGACACCCAGGTCCCACTGCACACTCCCCTCTCCCAATGTACAGCCATTTAGGTAGTAATCTGCCTTCTTGTTTTTGCTTCCAAAGCGAATGACCTCACATTTGCCCAAACTGTACTGCAACTGCAATTGATTTACCCACTCACCCAACCTGTCGAGATCATGCTGAAGGATGTCTGCATCCTCATCACAGTTCACCCTCCCACCCAACTTGGTATCATCTGTAAACTTTGAGATGTTACATTTTGTTCCCTCATCTAAATCATTAATATATCTTGTGATATATCGGTCCCAGCACTGATCCCTGTGGCACCCCACTATTTACTGCCTGGCAATTTGAAAAGGACCCATTAATTCCTACTTTTTGTTTCCTCTCTGCCAACCAGTTTTCTATCCATATCAATACACTTCCCCCAACCCCATGCGTTTTAATCTTGCACAATAATCTCTTATGTTGGACTATGTCAAATGGTTTCTAAGAGTCCAAATATACCACATTGACTGGCTCTCCCTTGTTAACTCTACTAGATACATCTTCATAGAGTTCCAACAGATTTGTCGAGCCTGATTTCCCGTTCATAAATCCATACTGACTGAGTCTGATCCTGCCACTGCTTTCTAAATGCTCCGCTATAAAGTCCTTGATAATGGATTCAAGAATTGAAACGAGTTCAGCCAAGTGGACCTCATAGAATATGAGTTCCCTGATTGGGGCTGTTAACCTGGTCCAATCAGGAGCCCTGGCTGACAGATATAAACAGGAGTGTCAGTGGTTCTGTTCACTCTGAGAGCTAGCTCTGAGGGAGCTGGATCAGTGTGAAGGACTCTCCACGTGTAAATAAAGGGAGACTTGGTAATGGCATACAGGCCTCTGTGGAGTTATTTCAGGTCCCTCCTCAATGTTCCCTACTCCAAAGAATATAATCGGAGTTTATCCAGACTCTCCTCAATGCTAAACTGGTCCATCCCAGGCCACGTCTTCATGAATTTTGCCTGAACTGAGTGTGCACCTTTTCCAGAGAGCAGTGGGAAGCCAGACAGGCTCAGAAACACCCTCAGGAATCTGGTCAGGGCATAGACCCATCCACCTGGCAGTCGAACCCTTTACTTATGCCAGGGTGAGGCTGGAAGCAGAGGAATCCCAGCTGGGATCCTGGCTTGAAGCAACAAAGAATGAAGGAAGTCCATTCCATCTAACATTTATCCCTCCAATGGGAGCTAGGAAAAGCTGAAATCACTGGAAGATTGAATTCTTGCAAATGAGAATGGAGTCTGTCCATCAAGTTTACAAGTGATTCAGAGCTACAGTGCAGAGAGAAGCCATTCAGCCCATTGAGTCTACACCATTCCACCAGACTTAGCTGCCTTCCCTAATCTCTGTAAACACTAATTTCCCATGGCTAATCTACCTAGCCTATCCCTGCACAGTGTGATCAATTCCCCCTGGCCAATCCACCCCTAACCTGCAGATCTTTGGACCGTGGGAGGAAACCAGAGCATCCAGAGGAGACCCACACAGACACGGGGAGAATGTGCAAACTCCATACAGATAGTCGCCCGAATGCAGGCCCCTGGAACTGTGAGACAGCAGTGCTAACCACTGAGCCACTACGCCCCCCACATTCAAATTCCTTCAAGTTGGACGGATGTAGCAGACGCTATTGCAATGAACACTGTGTCAATTTTTAAGTTTAAATCTACGACTGAGATCTGACACATAGTAAAAAGTGTAGTCACTGTCTGGTTAAAATATCCCAGCTTCATGCAGAAGCACTGCAATCACACTAACTGAGACCTCACCATTCTGTGGAAGGCATTTTTGGGTGATGGCATTTTGTGTGTAAAAGTGTGTGCCAGTTGCGCTGAAATCTTTTGTTGCTAACTTATTCCTTTCGTCTTGTGTCAATTTTGATACTGTAGTAACTAGGAAGTTAATGTCTTCCATGTGCGTTGTGACTTTAAGTGTAATGGAAAGTTGATAAATGTTGAAGATATTGATGAATTCTTCTAATTCTGCTTCTGCAAACCCCATGTCAACTCAAACACAGAAAATACTGTCACTAAGTGACGTCATTACCCAAAAATGTACTAAAATAAAATGAAAAGGGAGACATGGAAAACCAAAACAAAAGGTTGTGCTCAAAGAAATACCAAGAGAAAAAAATATTTTTACCCAATTGCCAATGCTGTCAAATCTGATGAAAGAATTATAAATTGACTACACTTGGAAACATATAATAAAGCATATTAGATTGCTTTGAGATTCTGAGAGGTATTGCAATAAGCAATAAGGGGGTTGGATGGGAGAACATGAAAATGGAAGGAAGGTGTGCAGTTATTTCTCATTTTCACTCACCCTTTGCAGCATCGTCCTCTGTGGAACTGTGGAAGGTGTGGAAGGTGTGGATCTGGCTGCTTCAGGTGGTATGGCACAGTACATTTCCAATATTAGAAGGTCACAGCTACGAAAGCAGCACTGCTCCACAATGCCTCGATTCTGCCTGTTCCGACGGCCCACCATTTTGCTGACTGCGAACCAGGAGAGTGCAACCATTAAACGTCAGGGGAATCTAATAGCTGATCACTCAAACTCCTTGCCTCAACCCACTTACCTTGTACTTCACTCAACTTATTTGCTTTATCGTCTGCTCCGGTAATTTTCATTACTGGTAATAGAAAAATGTTCCACATGCTGGGCAATCTGACTCCCCATAAAACACTCCCAGGATAGGGACAGCACAGGGTTACATACAGAGTAGAGCTTCCTCTACACTGTCCCCATCAAACGTTCCCAGGACAGGGACAGCAGTCTGGGGTTAGATACAGAGGAAAGCTCTCTCTACACTAGCCCATCAAACACTCCTAGGAAATGTATAGCACAGGGTTATATACAGAGTAAAACTCCCTCTACATTGTCCCCATCAAACATTCCCAGGATTGGCACAGCACAGGGTTAGACACAGAGTAAAGCTTCCTCTTCACCGTCCCCATCAAACATTCCCAGTATAGGTACAGCACAGGATTAGATACAGAGTAAATCTGTAACCACTCTTTTAAACTGAAATTAAAACTTCCTCTACATTGTCCCTATCAAATAATCCTAGGGCAGGTACAGCATAGGGTTAGATACAGACTAAAGCTTCTGTACACTGTTCCCATCAAATACTGTCAGAAGTACATTAATGTTATAGAATTGATACAAGCGGGAAAGATTTCATCATAATAGACTTTGTATTTATAAATATAGGATAATTTCATAGAGTAGGCCATTTAGTCCACTGCTGCTGTGTCTGCTTCTTGAAATATTTATCTTAGACCCATTCCTATAATTTTTCTCTGGAACATTACAACCTTTCCAGTAAAGTACTTAACCAAATCCCATTTTGAAAGAGATAACAAGGTGTAGAGCTGGATGAACACAGCAGGCCAAGCAGCATCAGAGCAGCTGGAA